CCTTCCCTCGTGCGCTCCTCGCCAGTGGCGCGGTCTGGGCAGCGGCCGACATCACCGTAGCCGTCAGCTCGACGGCAGTCTCTCCCGTTGGCCGCCTGAGCGCCGTGGGCGGAGGGCGGCTGGAGGTTGTTGTTGTTGTTGTTGTTTCTCACATTAGCTCTAAAAAAAAAAAGAGATTGGGAGCCCGTGGTCTCAAAACCCGGCATACACGACCCCACGAAGAAACAGAAAAAAATCGGGTACAAAAACCATTCGGAAGAGAAACAAAATGATAGAAAGAAAGACCAGCTACCGCACCAAACGAGAAAGAGCGTCGAGGAGACCGATCAAAATAAAATAAAAGGAGAACGGGGAACGCTTCCCACACCCGCCTACAACGCCGGAGGGTTCCGTGCCGGGTTCCCGCCGACCAGGCATCCCCCGCCCTGCACCACACCCCAGGGGGTGCAGCAAGACGGGGGGCGAAAAACAAACACATATATATTCCCACAAAAAAAATAAAAAATCGAAGGACAACGTACACCAGTACCAGGTACTACAGCAGTGCAGTATGCACCAGCGCATTAGTGTAGGGTAGGCACCGCACCAAAGAGGCAGCAGAGGTGGCAGGCAGCCAGCAAAGGAAAAAACAAAAATAACAAGGAGCGCGAGGTATCGTCCAAGATCATAGTAGAGAGGGCATGGAGAACAAGAGGTGTATCTGCTCGATTTAAGAAATAATTAAGGGAAAATGTTCGTCAGCGTTGCAGGTACATAGGTGCTTATTTCACGATAAATTAACATCGTTCTGCCGTTCATCTGGGCCCGAGATCATCATACCGGAATGTTCGTACACTCTAGTGTTGGTTCGAGTCTCGCTTGTGAACTTTTTTCGTCTTTTTTTTCCATTTTTTTCAGATTTTGTATATTTTTTTCCCATATATTTATGCTGAAAAATGTATGCTATTTTCTTCATGCCCATTATATATATATTTTTTGCTGGGCCTTGTCAAGGCCATCATGGGCAATATGTGCAGAAAAAAATGTCGAAATCCATGACCGCGGTCAAGAGATATGACCGGTCAACTAACATCGGGCTCACAATCGGTGGCACTGTGGCCGCGTATGCTCCAACCGTACCTTCAACCGCCGACAGGAAGCGCGTGTTCTGGGGAAAACTTGACAGTCTCGTGCGGAGGATCCTTTCCATAGAATCTGTGTATGTCCTAATGGACGCCAACGCGCGGACGGGAGATAGGTTGGACGGAGGGGACGGAAGGGTAATAGGAATGTACGGACGTGATGAGCTTAACGACAACGGCATGCTACTGTTGAACTTCGCAACGGAAAATAGGCTAGCTCTCACGAACACGTTCTTTGAGACACGCAAGGGCGGAATATAGCAAACATTCAACGGTGTGTTGGGAAACGATTGCAAACGCCTTGACTACATCCTGACAAGGCAAGCACATCACGGCCGAGTATCTAACGTGGTTGTCATCCCCCAGCCGGTTCGCCCAGTCAAAGCAAACTCAGACCACAATATGGTAGTAGCCACCGTCAACCTCGGTGGCAGGCTTGCCCACAACCGTGCAGTCCGGACTTAACCGAAACCGAAGTATTTCAACCGACGGGAAGTGCAGCACGAAGCAGCACGGTGTGCGGTGACCATATTAATCGGTTCCTCCTCAACCTCGACACACGGCTGGACGAGCGAACAACCACCGCCGCGGAATTGGTGACCGACTTTACCAATGCTCTCCTCGAAGCAGCGCGGACGACCCTGGGAGAGGAACCGCGGAGAGGCCGCACGCAGGAGTGGTGTGAGACCCCAAAGACGAGAACAGCGCTGGAGCAGGCCCTTACCGAACGTCGGGAAGCGCGCCGGGCGATGAGGGGCAACTGGAACTCAGCAACGTGGAGGGTAACAGCACGACAACGGCTGTTGTATGCTGTGGCTGACGTATGTGACGGAGGCTTGGGTAGAGAAACACAGAGTGAATTATTATGCACATACAGGCGCCCAAGCTGTCTTCAACTGACGGTTGCAGACTTGGAAACACGCCCTCACAATGCCGGGGATAAAACCCACACAGCAGAATAGAGTCGTTCATGCACAACACAAGTACCCCAACATGTCCGCTGAAGAACTACGGCGTTCTCGTTCTCATACACAAGGCAACTTCTCTCTAGATGTCTTCTCATAGCAACGTCAATGTCCTCTCGAATCAACAATCTTCACGAGTACTTGCATTCATACAGCATCAAAATATTTTCTAGCTGCAATATATTTCCTTCAAGCAGCGAATTCTTTCCCTCCTACACACATCTCCTGAGCTTCGTTTCCAACACGAATGATTCTCCTAGGAGCATCATGCGGTTGTTGATGAACTTCACAGCACCCAAACTCTTGTTAACCATGTCGGCTTTCTGCATTGCTGACTCGATCTTCTCGACCTTTACGACTCCATCCTGGATCAGCGACCTGATGTGGTGATACTTGATATCAATATGCTTGGTCCTGGGCGTGATCTTGGAGCTAAGGCAAGTCAATATAGCCCCGGAGTTATCCTCGTAAAGCACCGTTGCCTCCTTCTGGGCACGGTTAATAGTCTTCAGTAGAGGCGGGCTACAGGCCTGCTGTTTCCGAGCACACTACCCGTCAACAGGGCATGCTCGGTCCGCTCGCACACCTCCTCCGTCGCATGCAGATTCATCCTCTCCGGTATGTTGGAGACCCTGCCGCTCCGACGTAGGTTCGAATCCTCCATTTGGGGTCCCGATGGCGTTGGCGTTACTTCTTCTTTTCCTTCTGTTTTGTTTTCTTCTTCGTTAGTGTCCACCGTGTCCGGCAGAGAGATGGTGGTGGGAGTCATCGCTGAGAACGGGTCGTACCCTTTCTTGGGTTTGACCATGTCACGAGTCTCTTTCTCACGAAAGGGCACCTCAGTGGAGTTTGTGATCTTGAGGGGCTCCGCCGGTTCCCACAGCCTGTATGTCCCATTTTTTGTGTTGTACCCCACATGATACATCTTCTTGGCCCTAGCTGACAGCTTGGTGTTCCGGAATCGCGCTTCCTCATGCTTATTGGCTACCGAGCCCCATTCGTGGATGTGCGCATGTCACCGAGCGGTTTCCCCTCGCATACCTCAAGTGGGGCCTTTCCGCCCAGAACCTCCGTAGGTGTGCGATTCTTGAGGTAGATAGCTGTATGGAATGCTTCGCCCCACAGATGGCCTGGAAGGTGCGGTGCTCCCAGGAGTAGCTTGCGCGCCGTTCCGATGATGGTGCCAAATCCACGCTCGGCGATGGCGTTCCCTTGCGGGGCGTAGGGAGGGCTATTATCGACCTTGATCCCCATGGACTCACACAACGCTTGGAACCTGCCCTTGAACCCTGCTCCGCCATCGCAGTGCACCTTGCCGATGCAGGTCCCCAAAGGATCCGNGCGTAGGGAGGGCTATTATCGACCTTGATCCCCATGGACTCACACAACGCTTGGAACCTGCCCTTGAACCCTGCTCCGCCATCGCAGTGCACCTTGCCGATGCAGGTCCCCAAAGGATCCGCTCCGTTCTGGATAAGCTCTTGGACCGACTCCGCCACCCCATCTTTCGTCTTCAGGAGAAAGTCAAACCTCATGCGAGAGAGGTCATCAGTAAACATAACGGCACTCTGGCAACCGCCGGACGACTTGACAGGTTGCGGCCCCCACACATCGGCGCTCAGAATCTCAAGCCGAGTCGTGGCTCGAGTGCGATTCGACGGGGGTGGCTACCTTTCTTGTTGTCGCCAACCGCGCAAACCCCGCAGTCAACTGGTTCGATGTTCCGGTTGAACTTCACTCCGGTGTTCGCTTTGTCCGCCAGCTGCTGCAGAGCACGTGGGTGGCAATGACCCATTCTACGATGCCACATATCAGCGTCGACCTTGGTGCGGTACACCTCGGCGGCGTCAAGATTGACGTCGTCGATGATGACGTGCACGACGTACATCCGCCGCACCGCCGTCGAGATGGGGAAAACATGGTTGCCATGGCAAAGCGCCTTCGGGGTCGACAATAGATCACACATCACCCCCTTCTAGGCCAAAGCTCCAACCGACAAGATGTTAACCCCTAGGTTGCGAGCAGAACTTCCACCGCTACCGGTACCACCGTGTTCTTGTCATTCCGAATTCCAAATTTGATCGTGCCTTTCGTGGTTGCATTTCAGGTACCACACGACCCGATGATACGCACGGCGCAGTCCGCCGGATCACCAACATGTTTGGACAGGCGGGACTCGGTGCATATCATGTGGCTAGAAGCGGCAGAAGCGATGTACACAGTCGTGTATCCAGCAGCAGAGGGATTCACCTGTACCACTTGAAACACGTTGGTGTACGCGACATACTCTGTTCCATCAGACGCCTCCTCCGCCTGAAGGTGAGTCGTTGCCACAAGCGCCGCCTGCACCGACACATTACCAGTGGCGGGCTCATCACGCAGCGCCGCAGCAGGCACATCCTGCACCTGCATAACTCCAACTGCGCACTCCTCTAGTCTATCTAACTGCGCCGCACCCGGCACCTTCTGCGCCAGCGGGTTGTTGGCGGCGCGCGTTTCCGGCAGCGCCGCAACAAGTGCCTTCTGCACCCGCATGTAGTCATCAGGCTCCGTCTGCACCTGCGTGTCATCTCCGATAACAATCGCGAAGTCCTCCAGCTGGCTGCTGGATCCCTCGATCCGCGTAAACCACGCCTGCGTGGTCGACTCCTGCGTGACATGAGAAGCCTGTTCCTTGGCTTCTTCCGCCTCCTGCGAAAGGCGAAGCGGGCAGTTGTGCCACCCGTGGCTCTTTGGAGTTGTGGCAGTACCTGCACACGCCCTTCGAGTTTTGACCAGTGCCCCGGCCCCGTCCTCGACCGTTTCCACCGGAAGCTTGGCTACCGCGACCATTGCCGCGTCCGCCTTGCACATTTTCCGCGCTGTCTCCGTGTCTCCGTGTGTCGAGGCACCTCCGTTGTTCCCGTTCGACGAACCGCCGCCTGTCGAACCGTCCGTAGTTTGGCCGCCATTTCCTCTACGACCACGTCCGCCACGTCCACCGCGCCCCCCTTGCTTGCGGAAGGCAAGGGTTCCTCCGTGCGTGACAGTGTTCAAAGCCCGACCATGACTGCCTGCCCCATNACATTTTCCGCGCTGTCTCCGTGTCTCCGTGTGTCGAGGCACCTCCGTTGTTCCCGTTCGACGAACCGCCGCCTGTCGAACCGTCCGTAGTTTGGCCGCCATTTCCTCTACGACCACGTCCGCCACGTCCACCGCGCCCCCCTTGCTTGCGGAAGGCAAGGGTTCCTCCGTGCGTGACAGTGTTCAAAGCCCGACCATGACTGCCTGCCCCATCAACGCGGCCAGAGTATTTTCCCCGGATTCGCATTGCATGAAATGTTGTAGCACGGAGCCCGAGTACTTGGAAATCAACCGTACCCTCAGCCGACCTCTGCGACTCACACAGCGACGCAGTCTTCAGTTCGCTGTAGTGGCTGTTCGGGAGAGCGTCATGCAAAGCGTTGGACAGCCGCGAGTCGATGACAATATCGCCGAGAGAACCCAACTCGGTAAAAATGCGGCGCAACTCCTGGATCGCGCGCGACGGATCAAAATATTCGTCGCTTGCTTGCTGGACGGATGCCAGTTGGGCGTGCAGCTGCTTCATCCGATACGGACCCGCCACCTTGTCCTTCTTGTCCAGCGCTACGAAGGCAGCACGACCATCCCCATACTCAGCATCTCCGATCGGCCCGTACCTATGTACCACCTGTGATGCGGCGCGGGAGAACCCTCCTGCGCCGTCGGACGTTGACATCAGAAGCTGCNCCTTCTTGTCCAGCGCTACGAAGGCAGCACGACCATCCCCATACTCAGCATCTCCGATCGGCCCGTACCTATGTACCACCTGTGATGCGGCGCGGGAGAACCCTCCTGCGCCGTCGGACGTTGACATCAGAAGCTGCATGTACAGCTCGCCATTTCTCTCTGCGAATTTCTCCATCGCAGTGGCAT